CTGCCTGATCAAATACTGAGGAAGTACTGAGGAATGCAAAGGTGATTTAGTCTAGAGATAAACAGGAAAGTTTGGGGTGAAGTGCTGGCCACAAGAAGGCTTGTATACGTGATTTTTGGTTTCTACAGTACTCAGGGAAACAGGACTATGTATGTATTTCTGTCAATAAATATGACTGTACTGTTTAAGGTAAGGCATGAAAAGCCACATACCAGAGACAAAGTCACAGCAATTCCTAGCATATATATATGAGAACTGAATGAATAACATTTACTGAAATAGCTTGCATAGCAAGTAACTTGCAGTAGCAGACATAGCTTAAAATTAAATATTACTGCTAACAAAGCTTGTGTTTTTATGACCCTGAGTCTTGGGCTGTTTGTGTTTTTATGACTCTTGGTTTGCAGAGATACAAAGACATCATAGGCTTAATCAGTCAAGTAACCTTACAGGTCCTTTCCAGAACTACCTACTATGGCACTGGATGTATAACACACATCCTGCCGTCCAGTCGTCTGTGAGGTCTTAATGCCCTGCTTAAATGCAGTTATGTTCCAAGGTTAATGCTAGTTCCCTCTCCATTCTCCCTGGAAATAGTTCTCAAATATGTCTTAACTTTCTTGCAAAGAGTCTGCAGACAGTTTGTATAGCTGCAATGTTCCTCTAAGAAATCAACAGCCATAATTCTATTTGCTCCCCATTCCCAGTCTGCCAACTGTTTTGCATTTGGAAACACACACATTTTTTCAATTCCCCATACAGGGCATTTCTCAATAGAGACTTTTTATTTTGTAGCAAATTTCATAAGTTTAGCATTTTTCTTCTTTGAAATCAAATCAAAACATATACTTCTCCTGTTATGCAATAAACACAGACATTACACACCAATTTAGATTTCTTAAATGAGGTATTATATTCCCTGTTTGGACATACATACAATGTATTTATATTTACAATAGAAAATATACAACTTTTTTTTTTTTTTTCCCAGAAAGGTTGTCATGCATGTTTTGCCATATTTAAATGCTTATTTTCATGCTCTCTTTTTAAACTTTTCCTTTAACAGAAATCAAAGCTTTTAATAGAAGTTTTCCTTTAAAAGTTGCATCAACATTGGCATGATTCTGTGAATCTTTTTTCTTCTGTGCATCCATCAGTACTGATGGAATCAAAATCCACATGAAATCTCTGATCCAGTCTCTTCCACTCCTACTCTATATAAGCTTTCCAAAGTTATAGTGCCAGACAGCCATAAAAACATTTTCCAGAAGTGTTGTGATCATGCCTACATTCTTAAACGTTGTTACCTTGTAGAGGTTAAAATCTCCAAGATAACAGAAACTGGAATTCTAGAATTCAGTTATAATTTTGTACACTCTATTCACAGTAGAGCTGTAGTAAGTATTTCTACAGCGGTTGGCTTACTACAGACTGTAACATTTGACGGGGTAAGAGCAGTGAGAACCCGTGCATGCAAGGATTTACAATGACTGCATTTTGTATTTGCTTCTGTATCTCACAGTAGTTCTGCCTGACTCAGTTCTGTCTGGAATACCTAACGCTAGAACACAAACAGTATCTATTACCATATTATTCTTCTATAAATCCTTCAAGACACTGCAGTCAAACATTTAGAGCAGCATTCTTGTCAAAGAGCATGCAATGTCAGAAATCAAACTAGCAAAATACTTTATTATCCAAACCAATTATCATATATCTGTTGTATTAACAAGGTCTGGATAAGAAAAACATCAGTGAAGTTTTAGCTGTTCAAAAAGCAGATGTCTGGAAAATATGTCCTTGGCAAACGTACTGTGATATACTGTGTTTCTTCAACTTCTGACATCTGAGGCTTTTTGACAACTTTTATATTAGTGTACTACTCACTGTAAACAGCATCACAATATAAATAAAACACCACAGCTATAATTCATTGGCTAAGTGTTAGAAGAATAAATAACTGGCTCTGCATATCTCTAACAAAGACCTTAATATAGAGCAATTAAAATAAGCAATCACAGCACAACTCTTAACACTGATCTGTCTTAATCTATTTTTAACATTTGTCAAGCATCTGACACTGTCAGCATGAGCAATTCATGCAGCCTCATAATCATCTACATGCTACCAAGTGACCAAATTTTTTATCAGGAATGGAGGAAATCTTTACCTAATGAGTATTAGGCCATGCATATTCAGAAAGAATAAAATGCATAATTTAAGATATCTAGTATAACTTACACATTCTTTAGAGAAGGAAGATGGCTTTCATAGGATTTTTGTAATGTTGGTTACCTCACTGAAACTCAGTGGATATAGTACCAGAGTGTAATTTTAGAAACATTTAGTAGAATTCTAAATGTAACATGTTTCAAAAAAATAATCTATCAAGATGAGCAAAAATGACTATACTTTAGCAGAAGCAAACAACAAATCATATTTCCTAATTAATAACAGTACAAACCACTATATTCATGTAGTGCATTAAAGTAACTTGCTCTTCTTTTTTTATCTTTTATGATACACATTCTATTTGCACACAAGAGGAAAAAGTAGACAAGTAATTTTAAAAGTATAAACAATTTGACCTCTCAAACTACAAATGTGCACTTACCCTTGCGTGCTCTTTCTTTAAGTTCTAGAAGCAGGCCAGGCCTGTGGTTTGACTCTGTGTTACAAAACAAAAGACATTTAATTTATGCATGTTGTTTCAAAGCTGAGAAGCTAGTTGAAAGCTTCAGTGTTGTTTTGCTAGTGTGACCTTAGTATAGCAAGTCTGATCACAGAACAGTTTGACTTTTAAGAGAGACTATTTCATTACATGCAGCAGATGGCTCTTACTGGGAAAACCTCAGCCAGACAGAGCGGGAGTGAGTTGGCAGTGATGAGAGGGCACATCCTACTTCCATAGAAGTCCAAGGGAATTTCCTCACAGCCTCAAGAGAGAGGAAGTATTGGCCTTAGCTTTTCATAATAAAGTACCTGCTTAACTGTGATTAACTGCTTTGCTAGGCATATTGGCAATTTCTTACTTGCTTAAAGTTAAGCACACAAAAGTTCTGCCCAACATGAGAAAATTTGCAATCCCTGACAAAGAGGTTGAGACCACAGGTGGATAGTGAGCTTTCAACAGTCACCACATAAAAATTCACCTAATGATTCACGTTCGCCAAAGGCAAACAAGTGAATCCTGAAGTAAGAAAGTATTCCCACTCCCCTTACCCAAGAAGCCAAGCTTCACACAAGAGGAACTAGAATGAATTGTACAAACTGCTCTGAGCTCAAAGGATCTAGAAAAAGGCTGAAAATGCAAGTTTTGTGCCAAGTTTTTTCTTGAGCATTTTGAAGAAAGCACAGCTAAATGTAATTATGAGCTACTACCATGCTAAATACTTCTTGTTCTCAGTGTTACCTAGACCTAGATAGGAAACAGGTGTGCTCAGCAATAAATATAGCACCTACAACCACCCTCATTCAGGACTAGCAGCAGGAATATATAGGTTTTATATAATAATCCAGTAGTCAAATGAATCCCCAAAGAAATGAGAGACCAGGATATAAAACCATAGCCAACCTAAGGTAATTTAACTGTTTGATGTTGTAGGAAGACACCCAGCAAGCACAGACAACAGGTGGAGGTGGGTGAAAGGCACCTGCCTGATTTTCTAGTAGCTAAGTCATACACAGCTGTGGTTAACTACATGTCATCAGGAAGTCAAATTCACAGTTTTACCTGTATCCATTTTGCCATGTTGATTGGTTTTGAACCTAAATTAAGAGAAATAAACTATTGGTTAATGATGCAGGGAAAAGCCACTCAATGCAATTTCTTCAAGTTAACTAACTGGAAGTTAGAAGAGATGCTGTACTGTTAATTGCTCTGCAATACAACCCATGAGACAATACACTCTACTGAACAGTAACATTTATTAGTTTGCTCTCAATGCCATGCTACTGTAGCTGCCTGACTTCTAGCTTACTTGCTGGGAAGGTAAGGCAAGCTTGCAGTCACATGAAAAAAATACCTCAGAGATACAGGCACTCACATCTGAATGCTTGATCACCAATTTAAGGTGTTAGTAAAATCACTTTCTAAGACACTTTCAGTCCACATTGCGCAAGTTGTAATTCCAGGGAGGTAAGGCTTTCCCTTAGGTCATGGTCACACTCATCTGTCCATCAGCAGTGACACAGAGCAGACATGGAAGCATCTCTTTGGGAAACTCTTCCTGCTCTCCTCTCTCTCGCTAGAACACACACAAGGCACCTGACCCCTTAAACTGGGCGTTTGCTTGTCTGGGAACCGGCAGCGGGCTGGGGGTAAGTATGTGTTGCAGAGCAGTTTATGGCTGCGTTGGCTGTGGTTAGATAAAGCTGTTTCTCCTCAAAGACCACTGCCCCCAGTGCTGTATGATTTTTACCTGGTTTATCCCCCCGCCCGGCCACTCCCGCCTCTCTGACCACGGCTGGCCTTCTCGGCGCCAGATGCCCACATCGGCAGGAGGTCTTTGTCCTCCAAATCTGGCCCCCAACTTTCCCTTTTCAGGACAGGTAAAATCAAACCCTGACCGGCTCCCTCGCACCGTCAGCAGCGCCGCAGCGCGCACTTTTGGGCCGAGGGAAGACCTTCCCCTGCGGAGGGGCCACGGGCTTCCCAGGCACGGACATCGCGAGGGTCCCCTCAGGAAAGCGCGGGAAGCTGCGCCGCGCGCGGGGGACCGCAGCCGCGCCGTGCTGCGTCCCGCCGTGCCACACCGCGCCGTGCCGTGCCACACCGTGCCACACCGTGCCGTGCCCCGGCACACCGCGCCGCGCCGTGCCACACCGTGCCGTGCCCCGGCACACCGCGCCGTGCCGTGCCACACCGTGCCGTGCCCCGGCACACCGCGCCGTGCCGTGCCGCACCGTGCCGTGCCCCGGCACACCGCGCCGTGCCGTGCCGTGCCCCGCCGTGCGGCTGCGCTCCGCGCGTCCTTCCGGGCAGGAGCACCGCCCCGGGCGGGCCGCGGCTCGCAGCCGGCTGGGCGGCGGGAGAGCGGCGATGTCGGAGCCAGCGCGGAGCGCGGCGGGGGGGCTGCCCCTCAGTCGCCTGGCGGAGCCGCTGCTGCGGAGGCTCAGCGAGCTCCTGGACCGGGCAGCGCCCGGCAAGGGCTGGCGGGACCTGGCGCAACGAGCGGGGAGCCGCGGCAGGGTCCGGCTGAGGTGAGGGCGGCCTGCGGGAGGCCCTGGGCTGCGCGGGGGGCGGGAAGGGGCCTCGGCCGGGGCCGCGGCGGAGCTGGGGGGCCGACGGGGAAGCCGCGGCGCTCAGGCGGCGCGGACCCGGGCGGAGGGGCCGGGCGTCTTGGCAGAGCGGGGGCTGAGGCCGTGGTGCCACCGCGGGGTCGAGGGCAGGGGACGCGGCGGCCCCGGGGTCCCTCCCGGAGCCTTGCCTGAGGCCGTGCGCTACCGCCCCCCTTGCTGAAAGCGCGGGCGATCGTGAGGGGTGCGGCCGACGGGTGGCATCGGTCCTGAAGCCAGCAGCGGAGCAGCGAGGATGAGGGAGGTGAGGGTTTGCCTTCGCTTACTAGCTGCCGGGTAAGTTTGTACTCGGGCGAAGGACAGCAGCTGGATGCTGCAGTAGTTTTGTTGTCGGTTCTGCCTGAACCCAGAGTTACCAAGCCCGCGTTGGCCGTGCAAAGGCCGGGCACGTCCCTCAACCAGAGCCCCTGCGCTGGGACAGACAGGATCGAGGACACGCAGCCCAGCTCTAGGAGAGGTTTGCTTAGTCCCACATGAGGGCTTCCCCCGAAGAAGCAACAGGGTGCAAGTAGTGTGGTTTTTTGCTTTGCTGCCTTCGTAGTTGGAAAGCATCCCCCTGTACCTCACCTGACTTCCCTCAGCGCAAGTGCAGCCAGCTGCTTGCTGTAGATGGGGAAAGTGGAAAATGTTGGCTGTTCCCTCTAGCTCCTCTTGTCTGCATGAGGGTAAATGCATTCATTTTCTTCAACTCTATCTGCCTAAGTCACATTTTCTATATCACTTCCTGATCATTTTCCATCCTGTGGCTTTTCAAGATTTTGCTTGGAGGGTGGTATCTCAGAAAAACTAGGCATTTCAAGTGCAGCATTGAATGTACATTATGAAGATGTGCCCTTTTCTCTGTTATGACTATATTTATTAATATAGGGAGAAAGAACCTGAGGATTACAATGTGACCTCTCTGTAGGGCCTATTGCTAAGTTTGTTTCTCGGTATTATCCAGTAAAATACTCTGAAAGTCTGCCTGATAAATGAAAATATCTCACCACCAGGTTTGCATGGCAGTGTGATTTAATGAAAGAAACACTAATTAATCTTTTTAGTTGGAATACATAAACTTGCATTCCCTTTTCATAGCTGTATTAATTTTCTTAAAATAACATGGATAATAATCTACTGTGATTGAAAGTGCACGAAGACTTAACACCAAAGCTTAAAACTACACATGCTTATACCTGGAGATGAACTTACTGGAGCAGTTAACTGCACTGTGGCAATAGGTGTGTGTATCAGTTAAGCTGCAACAGTCACTTGTTTTAATGACTACTCTGAAAATCAGAGTCTTCCTGGACTTTCAAGTTAGATTCTGACTCAGTCTTTACTGCTTCTGAATTAGGCATATGAAAATGAAAGGTTCTGTACTTTTTTCTGCTGAGACTTTAAAAAGTGAAAATTATATTTCTTAATACATTTGGTTGGAATTGTTAGGTACAAGCATCTCTTGTTTTATAGCATGCAACTTGCTAATACCAATTTCTGTCTGTGGAGGTGTCACTGTATAGCCTCTGAACTCCGGAAACTTGAAGAAAACACTGTAAATATGTCCAAATCAGCTATGAATTTCCCATCTCTTTTTTAAAATCTTTTTGTTTGTCTAAAAGTGATTTTTTTTTAACTCTGTTGCTTTCTGAGGATCCTCAAGTACTAAGAAGGTTTATACCACGTCTTTCTTATATTATTTTGTAGCCCTCTGGATTTAGAACAGTGTTCCCTCCAAGTGCTGGAGCCAGAAGGAAGTCCCAGCTGGAGTCTCCTGAAACTACTGGGAGATCGCGGTTGCACTGTGGTAGAGCTTGCGGAGTTCCTGCAGGCCCTGGAGCATACAGAGGCTCTCCAGTGTCTCAGCCATTCAGGTCAGTTATGGTTTGTGCTTTCACTGCAACTGTGTTTTACACTGGAAACACTAAAGTATTTGTTTTCTACAGTAAGTAAAAACATCTTTAGTGTTTGAATTCTAGTAATTGGTATTCATGTGATTCGGAGATTAAAAGTAAGCCAAGTAGATAAGCAGGCTTAATGCAGTAGTGTCATAGACTTGGCTGCATGGATATGACAGGTGCTGTCATTCCCCCTGGTGATTTGGGTTCTGTATCAAACTGTGCCTTTGGGAGGTGCTTATAGAACTGAGATGGTTGAGTTAGAGAAGAAGTGTTGCCAGCCATCTGTTCGGGCTACAGGTTTCATTAACTGCATTTCATAGCTTACCCTAATTGAAGGGGAAGGGTCCAATTAGTGCCAGTTCTGGTGCATGTTGGGTGCAGTCCAACTTGCTAATTGGACAGAAAAACAGGCTGACTTAGTGGAAATAATAATAGTTATATCCTAACACATTCAGCTTGCTTCTTCACAAAAAGACTAGGAAATGGAGCAACACAAGGTAAGACCATGTAGACCAAGTGCTTCTTGCTATAGTACAAAACCAGGGCCCTTTTTTATGTCCTCCTTCTTCAGGATGTGGTGAAGTTCAACCTACTAGGAAGTTGCAAAAGCCTCTCGTCAGAACGGAAAGTGGAAATGAGACTAGCAAGCTCCTGGTCGTACTGATAGCTGTCCTATTCTTTGGACAGTGTGAATAAAACCATGGACTGAGAACCATTGTTAAGACAATTTGGGAATTTTGCAAGTAAATTATAGTAATGTTTTGCAGCTGTTCCATCTAGTTAAGGTTGCTGCTTCTTACTGTACTAGAAAGACCATAGCATGTTGAATGAGGTGTGATTGAGTTACATGACAGCTTAGTCTAGCTGAAGTATACCACTGTATGCTTGATGGGGAGAGGGGAATTGGTGTTACATCAGTGTGAGGGGATTGTGGTCACAGGGGCAAGAGTTGAGGCAGAGGCATAGGCATAGGCAGTTCAGCTGTCCTGAACTACAGATGCTGGTTCCATTTATTGTTCTCCGTATGGTGGTTACTGAGGGAGTACTGAAAGCCAGAATGGTCCTGGTTCACATCTGTACTGCAGAGTGCCTGCACTGAGCCAGAATGTTGCACTCGGTTGGTCTGTGATCATCTCAAGTATTATCACTGTTGAATTGAGGATTTTTGTGTGTCTGTCAAGTTACATTTTGAAGACTGTAATAAAGACTAAATCCTGGGTAAGACAGGCACTTCTACATAGCAGAACTATGAGGTAGCGGTATCAATTAGGGGACTGGATAGATAGCTAAGATAGCCTTGTATTGAGGGGAACAAGCCAGTAAGAGGACTTTTGTCAAGACCCCCAGGAACTGCAGAGATGGTCTTGTTACGAATTAATCTCTTGCAGAACAGTATGATTTGTGGTAGAATGGATTCAGTTTCTTCTAGGGAAGATGGGGTAGCTTTGTAGAGACTGAGAAACTGGAACCGAGAGAAACCAAAGCAAAGGGTATTTGAAGAAAGTTTAGGTCAACAATTTTAAACTATTTAAAAAGAAGTGGTAGGCCTTGATGTTTGAGGTGAGTTTATTTAAATGTTCGGGGGTGGTTGATGCTTGAAGTCAAAGTACAAATTTGTAACTGCCCGTTTGTTCTAACACACCAAAAAGAGCTTAAGTGTTGCACAAGGTCCTTTAGGAATGGGATTGCTTAACGTAAGACCTCTATAGCTGTCATACTGGTTTGTTAGACTGTTTTTTACCGGCTTAGTTGATGCAGTTAAAAAGACACAAACCTTTGTGAGCCTATGAGTATACTGGTTAATGAGCATACAGTTTTGATGCTTAGTGGGTCTGTTTTGGCAGTGATACTACTTCAGTACCTTTATGGCAGAGATGTATTGTTACAAGCTGGGACATCACTTTGTTTGCAGCAGTACAAAGGATCGCTCAGAGAATCACATACTCCCAGAATCAAGTTCCAGACCTTGTTTGCTTGTCCGAGCTTAGAGTCTTGCCTGTCACAGTGCTTTAACTCCACAGAATATCTTTCTGTAAAGACCCAAATAGTAGTAATAATAACTTTAAAACTTCTCCTTTTTGGTAGTGAGAAAGCCTGGGCATCTTGCTCCTTGGGCCACCTCTCTGTCCCTTTTCTTCCCTTTTCTTATCTTGTCATGTTGTGAACTTGCTGGAAATGAATGAAATGCAAAGAGCTGTCTCCCAGGCTAAGAAGGAAAAAAGGCTTAATATGTAATTTGTGGTATTACAGTCAAGTCCTTGTGCAACCTCACTGAATTGTGGTAATTTAAATAAGAACAAAGAGGTGTTTTTCCTCTGCAGGCATGTTTCTTACTGCAGCAGTTTAGGCACTTCAATCTGAATGTAATTGAGGCTGAGTTTCCATAAATGACTGAAAATGTTTACCGGTGTGTAAGCTAAGAATGTAATGGTTGGATTATAGTTAAGATCATGAGTACTTAATGTGCACTGCATGTTTCAAAGTCTGGTAACTATAAATGTGAGTTTGCCATCCTCAGTGGTAAAACTCAAGCTTTGCATTTTCTAAGGAAAATCTAGGAGGTATTTGTGTATCCTTGTAATCATTTAGAAAAATGAGCCAGGTTTTCTTTTTGAACCATTAAATTCTATCATGGTTGCAGGAAGTAGCTGTATAGTGCTGAATGAATAAATGAAACTGTGAAAAAATTATGAATCGGATTTCTTAGAACTCAACTGTAATGTGTTCAAGGAGTGCAAAATACTAGTATTTCAGATAATTTATTTTTCTTAACTACTTTCTTAAAAGATGTTAGTGATGTGTATCAGGAGAGATTTAAAAAAAAAAAAAAAAAAAGTGGATGTCTTTGGAAAGAGCAAATCCTAATTTTTCTGTCCTTTAAACTGAAGCAATTCCTGTTTGTGCTGGTCAATGTTAGATGATTGTGGTGCTTGAAAAATGTACGTAATATACTCCCTTTAACTAAGAAAAACAGCGAAGGAAGTGTTAAATGAGGAACTGAGGTAGCAATCTTCAGGGCTAGGGTATAGAGGGAAGTTATTTTAGAGAAACAAAGGGAATTTTCAAGTCCTGTAGCTACTTCAGAGTAACTGCCTGTGTGATCAACTGTTTCAGAATAAGATTGTTTGTGGAAGAGTATGGCCCACTTCTCTACTAGACAAAGATTATGTGACTTCCAAATGTTGTATAATCTCTGTTTCAATCTGTTGACCACATGGATTTCTGCTGAGGTTTCAGTCTATTGATCAAATTGTTATGGTTTCTTTCCTCAAACATTGTCTGTTAGGAAAAACTAACAGACATGTGCATCTAAACTGGTAAACATGAGACAAAAAGAAAACTCATGGCAGAGTGCAATAAGACGACTTGAAGCAAATGATAATCTTGACTATTAGGTCGGGATGTTTGCGATCTCTTTGCAGCTATTTTTTTACACAGCTTCTTGTTTCCTCTATGATACTCTGTAAGATTATTTCCCCAGCAATCCAGAATACTGCTTCTGTACCAGACTACACTTTCAGATTTTGCAATGAATTTTCATTAAACCATAAAGAATGAACTACTTTCTCCCAAAACAGGGAAATTAGACTGACTCTAACATAAAATTAAATTTTTAGTATGTATACTTATTTTGTATCTGATTGTTCATTTCCGAGAGTAATGAAACGCCTCTGTACCGTTCACTGGTTCCGAGCTTTTTCTGTAACTAATGCTACTGGGCCCAGCTAGGACAGAATTAATTGTCTTCATAGCAGCTCATATGGTGCTGTGCTTTAGTTTTTGACCAAGTCAGTCCTGATAAAAAACCAACATTCTCGCTTTTGCTGAACAGTGTTTGCACAGTACCAAAGGCTTCTCTGTTTCTCGCTCTGCCCTCCCCCGGTGAATACCTTGGGGGGTGTGCAATAGTCTGGGAGGGGACACAGTCGGGCAGACTCACTAACCAAAGGGATATTCCATACCATAGAACAGCAATAAACGGGAAAAGAGGGAGTTTTGGAGGGCCTAGTCATCTTTTGCTTAGGAACTGGCTGGGCATTGGTCTGCCCACGGGAAGTGGTGAGTGACTTTGTGCCACTTGTTTTGTTTTCTTCCCTATTCTTCCACTCATCCTTCACTTATTAAACAGTTGTTAATATTTTTTGTTTGTTTGTTTCATTTTGACCTCCAAGTTTTCGTTGTTTCATTTTCCTTTCCCTCTTCCCCCATCCCACTGGTGGTGGGGAACTGTGTGGTGCTTCTCTGCCCACTGGGGTTAACCCACAGCACTAGTATTGTAGCAACTAGTCATTAATGTGTAGTATTGCTTGTGGTCCCACTGGGGTTGTTAAATGTGTTTTATTATCCATAGCAAATAATGCTTTAAACTAATGATTTTTTTGATGGCTTATCAGCTCAGTGTTGCTGAACATCTTGGTCATAGGTCCATGTGTTTTTTGACAGCAATGTGAGGTTAAACTCTGTTCTGCAGTTGGCTTCCCCAACCTCCCCCTGTCCCGTCCCCCCCCTCCTTCTTCTGATGACCTTGGTTATTCTAGTGGATCTGTTTTTGTGGTCATGCTGTAACAAGATCTTTGGAATGGTCTAGGTTAAGAAAATAGCTGGATCATATCAGACTGGTGTCAGAATTTCTCTCATGGTATTTTCTGGCAGTTAAAATTTGAAGTGGAAAATTTTACCTTGCGTATTGGCAAAAAAAATCCCAGCCCTGTGTTCTACAGGGGTCAAAGGCATAAAACTGAAACCAGTGTTTCATCTAATAACGTTGCCTGAGAAACAGTATAAAAACACACTCTGTTGTAGTTAAACTGACCCTTACTGTTTTGATCCATCCCTCAGGCTGTGACTAATCTTAATCTGAAGATTAACAATTCAAATTGCTGTGGGTGAGGAAACCCTTAAAACTGGCAATACCTTTCCCAAAATGGATGTGGTGCCATTGGAAATATTACTTGCTTTAGTGAGTAGAGAGCAAGAGGGATTGAAGTACCCTAAAATTAAAATGTCTGAATGATCCGTTTTAAATCTTTGGTAACTCTGTAGAGTACTGATCAATTTGAGCATGGATTTTGTGTAATGGAAGACAATTTTGAATGTCTTAAAGTCATATAATTAATTGGAATGGGATGTATACATGGTAGAAACAAATTATTTTCAAGTATCTGTAATGACAGAAACTTTCTTTGCTCAAAAGACAATTTAAATGCAAAACTAATTTGCATTAAATGCAAATTTCAATTGTGGAATTGTATTTCTTAATAATAACTTTCCTATGTGTAAATTCTGTTTTAAAGGTATAAAGATTGTTGTACAGCCAGACTCTCAAGCAGTGTGCTCTGGTCAGGTCGTCAAGCTGTGTTGTTGGGCAACAGGACACCCATTTGTGCATTACCAGTGGTTCAAGCAGGAAAAAGAGGTACTAGTTGATACAGAACATAGGTTTTTTAAATGGTGAAAATAATAGTAATGATTTTGGATGATACTTTTTTTTTTGAAGACTGTTACTCTTATTCACAATGAGAGAAGAAACGCTGCATAATGACCCTATCAGTGTCCAAAAACAATAAGGTGGTTCCTTATATTCAGACCACTTAACCCTTGGAGGGTAATCTTGGGGTGTGACCATAAGGAAACTGAAAGTTTAGTTGTCTCTCAGCCTACCAAGAAGTTTAACGTGGGCCACTGAGGAACTGCCACACCGGAACAAATGCCAAGCTCTGTTGGTCTGGGACAGATGGAAACTGGTTTCCTGAGAATGAAGAGTTGAAGGCCTGAACTTAGTGGTGTCACAGATTGTTCAGGAAAATACTGGAATGCATGTGAGCTGGTATCTGGAATTTGAATGGCAGCACTTCTGCCTGTACTTCTGGTCCTGGTTATCTTTCCACAAGATTAATGCATTTTTTTCTTAATGTTATTTTAATGTAGGTACTGTTTTTAGAAATGCAGTAAGTTCACGGTATTTTAAATTGCTGTTAAATTTTTAACTCATTTCCTACACATTTTAAAAAGTTTAGCTCATCCAAAACATGGCTTAAAAAATATGATTACAGTCATTTCCTGCTCATTACAGTTAAAAGATAGATGTAGTAAAAAATTATTTCTCTGTGAAAGAATGTTACAGTTTCCTGGCCACAGTTGAATATATCATAAGACTAGAGCTGAATGTAACACATAAGCTGGTTGGAGTAGTGCTTAAGAAATTATTCAGAGTTATTTGTGGAGAAAGATAAAAAGTTTTAATTTCAAGAAGAGCTTTTCAGCTGACTTAGAATTGTCTTAGATAGAGGCATATAAATTATTCTTGGAAGAAAGCCTGTTTCTGTGCTACTAAATATGCAGAACAAGACTTTCTCATCCAAAAGTTTCAAGTAAGGAAAGGAGTTGAGGCTGGTGTTATGGACATTGAAATAAATACTCTAATGTTTGGTCCTGGTTTGGATTAAGTCAATCTAAATTGAAATATTTCTTGGTTCACCTGTAATTCAGGTTCCCCATGGTAATTCTCCAGAGCTGCTTTTGAATCCAGTGAGTGTGAATGATTCTGGCTTTTACATCTGTCGAGTGAACAGTGAATCTTCCTTTGTGTTCAGTCGGTGGGCACGACTTGAAGTTTGTGATCTCCAGGATACATCTCATGGTGAGTGGCAAAAACACTGTCTTCTGAAAGTCTGTCTTCCCACTTGTTAGAGGAACTTGAATCCCCACTGCTGTCTTGCACAGATGTGAAAGAGGTCTGATTAAAAATGCAGTATCCAATTACTGGGCTCTTGTGCCAGTCACAAAAGGAGGAGAGAAATTGAGTTCCACAGTGGAGGATAAGATGATGTAGATGGCAAACATACAGTCTCTGATCTTTTAATTCTTAGAGGATTCTTGGACCAGAAAAGCAGTTATTTAACACTCTTCTTATTTATCTGTTTACCTCTTGTTGTAACTTGCTAGTGACTGGACACATTGTCTTTTCTGAATGTCTGCCCCATGGACTCTGGCTTCGTAGTCAGGGCTGTTTGTTTCCCCTTCATCTGTGTGCTGCTAGTCTGAAAAGAAAGGTATTTGGGTAAAGGAGAATCTAATGGGGTTCTCTGCCTTTCCTAGAAAGAAGTCTTACCTTACCTAGAAGGTCAAAACAGTAAACTACAGGAGAGCACATGCATGCTGGAGGCCTGGACACTTTATAAAAACCTAGATACTGTGGAATAGAAGAAGGGTTAACAGCACTCTGAGGAGACAGGACTGAGGTCTGGAGTAAGGTTTGGCACTTAGCAAAGTGATAAATCTCCCTTCCGGTCACCTTTTCAGATCATGATAGTCTATCACAATCTCAGATGTGTACCAGTCAGGAAAGGTAGATTGGTCAAAGCCCAGAACATTCTTTCTTTGCCAGAACACCTGGGGAAAAGAGAGGGAGGCTAGGGCTCTGCACATAAGTCTGTTGGAGAATATATATTTTCTAATACAATCTTTCAAAATTCATATAAGCAACCCAGATAATAATGAAGACATGCCAACAATTTAAAGAAATAAACCTATGAGAGGAAGAAACAGATGAGTTAAACTGAGTCTTTTTGGTGTGAATTACATTTTCATGGATTTTATAAATGGTCAGCTAACAGTCATCAAATATGTGTTACCTGCATTAAAAAAGCCATAGTAATTCAATTTACCAGTGTAAATCCATATGAATTTATGGCACTGGCTTGAAGGTACCTCTTCTTCAGTGATGAATTGATCTCCAGCTGCAGCATATATGATGAAAGTATGGACGTGGAATAAATGCAAGGAGAGTGTAATAATAGCAGAAAGCAAATAAGATTAAATAGCTGTTTGCAGTATCCAGCTAGTACTGGAATTTGTTAGTAGTATGTAAAGGAAATCTTAGAAATTTCCTTTTTGGATCTAGTATATTAATACTGCGCATTTATTTCCAGTTTCCTGATGTTGCTTTTTGTTTTCTGGTGTGTGTAGGTTTTTTTTTTTGTTTATTTTTGTTTGATTTGTTTTGTTTTTTTACAAAATAGTCAGTTGCATTAAGTAGGCATTGACTCATGCACTAAGTATATCCTTTATAAACTTTCTAATTAAATATCCTGGACTTGCTTGTTATTGTCCCAAAGGTGATTGAGACAGAAATCAACTGCACTGTCTTCAGACTGTGAAGAGTACTTATTTTTGTCTTATGTCACGAGTCAAAGGTGTTTTCCACTTGCATCCCACATACAGAAATTATTCATGGCAGGAAAAGAGATAGAACCAATCTTCCAGTAAAAGATCAAAAGCTATTGCAATGTCATTTGAGGTGACCTTTTTACATCTTAATCTCAATCATATTCTCGGTCCTTTATCTAAGCAATGATTTCTTCTGCTTTTCCTTTGCTCCTTCTTCAGGTTCTATTCAGTTAGAAACCTGCAGTTTCAGATCTTGCTGATTGCATCCGGAAGCTGAGATGAATAACCTCATAATGAGTAAAAAAAAAAATCTGAGAAAAAAAGCAGTATAGTGTTTCACGCTTGTGGCTAAAGGGCAGCAGATATCCACAGACTAGTGCCTTGCTTTATGTTCCATGACTCTTGGCCAACCAGGGACTATAGTGGAAGTGAATTTTAGCGTGTTTGTGTCTTGGTGATGCATAAAAGGATGAGGGGCAGGATGGGTTGCTCTATCCTGTAACTTTCCCTCTTAGGGCCCTTACAAAGAACCCTAGAAAGGGGTATGTAGTGCTTGTGCTGAATGAACGCTCCCCGCCTCCTGTAACATTTGCCCTGGAATTACTGGTGTTGCAGTTGAACTAGATGATGCTGGTAGTTCCGCTTCTGCAAATGTTGACTAGGTATGAAATCTTCTATTTCAGCTGCTTTTTTTTTCCTCTCTTTTCCTGCTCCCTTGGTTGCTTTCTTTTTTTCAGGTACTTTCTTCCCCCTCTTTTATCATTGCTTTCTGTTTGATGAGAGTTTGACCATTCTCCAGTCTGTAAAAGCTGTCTTTCCTAGCTGCCTTGTGAGCTTGTGATCAGTTAGGCAGCCAGACACAAATTTGGAAGATGCTGGTGCAGGCTTGTTTGTGTAATCTGTGAGTAGTACAGCAGGCTGTACCAACAAGGACCTGTAAATGAGATGGCAGGCAAGGGGTCCCACTGGAGACAGAAACCATGTTATCTTTCAATCTCGTGTTCTCTTTCACTGTCTGTAACTTTGGTGTTCCTTAATCCTGTTTAATTTGACTACAACAGTTCCTTTCCATCTTACCTTAATTCTGTCTTTCTGTGATAAAGGGAAAATAATTCTTTGCATTTTGTTTTAAGAGCCTGATATCAAACTGAGACATTGAGAGGGAGGGAGGGAAGGAGAAAGAAGGTTCTGTAAACAGTTGAGTGAAAGGGAGTAAATTTTATTTTGATGTATAAAAAGCTTTTCTATCATAAAAGTCACAGAAAACAAAGTTCTTTGGGGTTTTTTTGTTTCCATACAAGCACCACCATTATAGAAGTTGATAGAGAAGGTGGTAAGCCAGGATCTCTATTTGAAGTGCCATACAGCAGTGGTCATAGAACAGAGTATTTGCTCAGGCATCTGTCAGTCTTTTTACCAGTATCAAGTCTACATTAGGAAATACAGCTTTCTTTTAAAAACGCTAGTCAACTTTGATCATAAGTACAAAACATCTGTTTGTAAAACCTCTGAAATACAAGTTTATAATGTGCCAAGAAGCTCAGACACTAGTAGAACAGAGGTACCTGTATCATTATCTCCCTTTATTTTACTATGCAAAGGAAAATGTCATTACCCTCTAATTGTCAATCATGAATAGCTCTGATGACAAAACACGTGTCTACATACGTAGTCTAAGGGCATGTAGCATATGTATGAGTGACCTTGCAGCTGAAATAAAAGATCACTGGTGTGACCTTTACAAGTTGGTCTGGGCTTGCTGTAGTATGTGTCAGTTAATCAAACTGTTCAGTATTCACAGAACAGAAACCTTTCCAGTGGAGTGCTCGTGTGTGTGTAGAAGATGTTTTAAAAAATTAATTTCAATACTTTGTTTCAATCGATTTTATCCTATGTAGAAACTTACATTACATCAGCTGGACAAGTCTTTAATGCATTTAGGGTTTTCTGAATAAATTGCTTTCCCAAAGATATTTCTATATGGGGACATGTCAGTGGCTAATGTTTGTTAAGCATTTTTAGCTTTAGGCTTTTTTAGTATATTTACTTTAAGGTTTGATGCTCAGTTTAGAATGAGAAGAATAGGGATATGCTAAAAAAAAGATTTTAAGTTTCAAATTCTTATTCCTGTGTACACACTTGCACACAAGTTGGATCCTTAGTCCATCCTTCAATAGCCACTCTTCTTTGTACTTGCTCGTGTCTGTGGAGCCTTTGTAATCCTACGGGTAGGAATAAATGATGCAAAAGGGCTTTGACTTTTTTTTTTTTAACTTCTGGGGTATTTTTAATGTGCATTCTTTTTTACTTTTCAACTGGAAAGCTGCTGCTGCTCAGTTTTATCATACTCTTAAAGGACAAGTAAGTTAATTTCATTGCTATTAAAACAGTCTGTTGTAGTTACAGGAAGATGTGGCCATAAGTTGTCAATTCTTAGTCATCTATATGCAGTTCGATTGTCTCACCCTTTTCTTTTTTCTCTCTCTTTTTTCTTTTTTTTTTTAAGGGAGCTTAACTGGTTTGTCTGAAAACAAGTTGCGCATTTGTATTCAGCCTCAACCACAAAACCTGACAGTGGGGGATGCTTTGGTACTAGAATGTGGAGCTGTTGGAAACCCAATTCCTCATTATCAGTGGTTCAGGAATGGATTTCCCGTGGCAAATGGGAGCAAAAATGTCTACATGGTAAGTTATTACAGAGTACCAGCCTTGGGGGACTAAAGTGCAACCACCTTTAACTTACCACATAAAGCTTCCTTGAAGAAAATAACTTCTTCATAGCCTTGATAACCTCTTACAGAAGTGCTTGCTGTAAGTTGCTCTCCTGTTCTATTACTCACTTGTCTCGGCGCCTAATTTTAATCCTGAACGTATTTCAGGTGCTAGTCATGGCCTTTAAGGCTATGGTATATTTTGGATTGGTGTGACACATTGACATCACAAAGATTAAGTATCAGTAAAAGTGAAAATTTCTCTCTCTTGCACTGCAGAGCACTCTGATTTGTACAAACTGATGCATTCAGTGCTTAATGCATCTTAAGCCCGTGCAGTGGATTTGCATTCTTTCCTCAATTCTTGAAAGCATTTCTAGAACACGTGATGTCCAGCTTACTGGAGAACGAGGGTATCAGCAGCTTTTTTGGATTTGTTTAGGCTTTGCTTTTAGTTTTTATTCTTTCTTGCATGTGGGCTTAAATGAAACCGATCCAGGTATTCTTTTGGTGTCTGGTGGGGTGACTGTGATGATGCTTGCATAGGTAACTTATGTGGGTGTGGAACATCAAGGAACGTATTGGTGTCACGTTTTCAATGACCGGGAAGATCAAGACAGCAAGAAGATAGAAGTTGTTATAGGTAAGGAGTTCTGTTTGATACAAGTCAGCTGATTTATCATTTTTTTCTCTATCATTAGAATTTATTTTTGAAGCTTTCAGTATTGAGCCAAGCACATGCCTTCTGTAGTTTATCAGTTTGCTAAAGTAGCTGTGCTTGCTTGCAGGAAATGGAATTTTAGAGCTTTGTCAGTTATAAAATGCTTTGGGTTTTTATGGTAACCAGCCTAGAAATGCTACCACTTTTTGGCATAGCTAGTCCGTACATGGCTTGTCAGATGATTGCAAGCTATTTCTTTGGTTTTTGACTAGTGAAAAACAGTTTAACCCTTGTTGGTGATAGGAACTGTGTTTCACTGGGTCCTTCAGCAATCAGGACAGGTGAGATAATTTATTCTGCTTGCTGTGAATAAATATAACACAGTTTATATTTGTGTGTGCCTGTATTTGCAGTGAAAAAAAAGAGGGGAAGGTCTGTTTGTATAGCTTCCAGATCTATCTGGGAATACTGTTGCATAATTCAAAAGAAAAGTTGTTTCCTGTCCTAAGAAATATTCTGGTTTAGTCAGTGCTGATTTATACTGCCATAAAATAAGACAGATTGCAGAGAAGCTTAGAAATGACCTTTGTCTTCCACTTTGTGTGCTAACTCTCATAACTGAGAGCAATTGTCTTCCAATTTTTCCCCACCCCTTTAAAACACAAGGAAGGAAAGCTATGGCAGTGGAGTGCACAGAAGGTAAAGTGAATCTCTAGTTGTGAATCAATTTTTAAAAATTAATGATGGGGATGATGGATTTTTGAGTGTGTTGCTGAAGCATGTGTGGTTTAAGAGCTTCGGTTTAATTTCAAACACTGATGTGGGATGCAACGTTCTGCATGTGCTTCTCTCTTCTTTGCCATGATACCATCATCTAGAGCACATGGGAGAAAATCCAAGCTGCTCTCTTCTTTTTGTGTCCTGTGCTTACGTTTTCTAGTGAAATGTAAAGATCTTGAGATTTCTTTGGCTGGGCTCAAAAGGCAACATCCTTTCAAGAAAATCTGATGATGTGTAGGAACCTGGGTGACCTTAGAGAGCTGGATAGAGCTAGTGCCACTGTCGGCTCTGTGTCTGCAAGAGGCGTTTCCAGCAACCTTACTAGGATGATTTCTGTTCTCCTTTGCCTTGATGCAATGGGGAGGAAGAAGTATATTGTGACCTTTAATGCTGATACCATCCCTTGATTATTGAGCATCTCAAAATCTGTAATATTTACATCATGGGGGATCATATATAAAGATGTAAGCAGTGCCCCACCCCAGATTACCTGCCAACAATGAAAAAAACCAAGTGCATTTGCAAAGTACAATAAATGGCTCTGTACAGTGTTTTGTTTTGTTTTTTTTTATTTTCATAGAATTGTAGAATTTCCTTGGAATTAAACTGCTCTGCAGCATTTCATGTTCAAAGTTTAAGCAGAGCTGACATTCCCCGTTAGCCCTTTTGTTAAAGGTTTAGCATTGTGAGGGGGTTGTGTGCTGTTACTGGAGCATACAAGTGACACATGTTTTGCTGTCAGCCACTTCCATGGCATTGCTTCTGAGAGTGATCGTCTCTGTGAGTGCTCCTGTCTTTTCTGGGTTGGGGGCATCTGCGTTACCTGCTGGAGTGCTGGGCAAGAGCCTCCTCCTTACCTGTAATGCAACTACCCTTTGGAGCAGAGGGTAACCACTGTATTATCTGTGGGGGTCTACACCCAAACTACAGTTTGCTTGGATGCAACATCAGGCTGCTGCTAGGCCACGTTACCACCCCCAGTAGTATCGCCTCAGGTCACTACAGTCTCCCCCCTGGATAGATGAGCCTGCTTTTGTGACTTCTGCCTCAGCCTCTGCTGCCTGGAGCAGGCCTGCTCTCCAAGACCTCTGGTGCTTCAGATAATTATTTTTCTTTTCCATAGTTTCCAGTGTTTTCGGAATAAATAAGTGAAACCTGTCTTAGCTTAGAATATTTGAAAATTGTATCTGAAGTCTGAATATACATGACTTTACGAAATAAGATTTCTTGTTCAGGATGTTGCTTTTTCAGCAGTTCTTCAAACATCTATTTTTCAAATGGGTGATCCTGATATCTTGTTCCTTATTCATTCAGACTGCTTGCATGCTTGTGGGATTGAGGCACAGTATATGTTTGTGTTTTGAGATCTACCGTATGATAATGCTGTGTCTAGCATGGATTAGTATATTGATGTAGGATTTTCTCTTCTCTGCATGTGGAATAAACATACAAATGGTTAGATCTAGAGAAATGCAAAGCTAAAAGTAGAACGTTTAGTTTGTTTTCTAACATTCAGCTTCTATTAATAATGTTACGACATTTAATTATATTTTTATTAATAAAAAATGTATTTTTTGCTTCTTCTTTTAAACTGTGATTTTATTGATGTATTTCTTCACAGAAGATCTAAGTGATCTTCAAAAACCAGGTAAGTGCAGAGTTCTGAAAAACTTTAATTTCGCATCTTCGTCTTGTGTTACAAATTAGTGAAGTCCAGCAGGATTGCACCATATAGTTTACATTATTTGGTTGTGTTTATAACCGGGGATTTAATAGGGGTAGACACCATGTTAGGAGCAGCACAACTTTCTGGTTCTGATAAATTAACTTGAAGAATATAGTGAATCATAGGGTTGCTGTTACCTTTGTAAGATCCCACAAAGCTGGTCTTTTATATTCTATGTATACTTACACAAATACAGAAGGAATTATCTTCTGCTTTCTTCTCTGTGACTTCTTTGGACTCTAAATTTTAGTATGTTGCTGCTTTTTAGATAATTAAGGTGAAAAAGATGTAAGGTGTCTGGCTGTCACCCATGATATGTTGAATTGATATATTTCTTAAATTCATGTTGGAGTGAGCTAATGAGATTCGAAGCCTGTTTGATGTTTATTATAGAAACATAGATATGGAGTAGTGCTCAGATTATCCCTGATCTCAGATCACAAAGGTCATATAATTTCCTGGGTTAGACACCAAAGATGTGTTTACTTTTGCCAAGACTTCGTTTTAGTCACCGAAGTAGTCCTGTCATGGTATGTAACATATTCTTTGGAGGGTACCACTCTGGCGTATTGCTTACCTGTTCCTCTTGGCACAGCACCGGCAATACCATCCCTCCATGAAGTACAAATAAAACCATTTTCACATGCAGATGGTAATTCCTGCTGAGCATTCCCTGAATTGCATGTCTGCATTTCATTTGGAGAGGATGAACTGTTTCAGATGTTACTGAAAATGCTGGTATGCAGTTTGTGAGATTCAGAATTATACTGTAATCATCTATTATTTCTTAATTTATAGAACTAGCTATTCATGTCCTATTAGGCTATGTTTGCTGGAAGAGGGTGAAGAGAATCATGTAAAAAACAACACAACACCCCAAACTCCCACCAAAACAAAATAAAAGAGCCCTTTTTTTGGTCTTAAACTAGTAACGTGTTGGGCAAAGCAGTACCAGTAGACTATGGATGTATGGAACGTGCAGTTCATTTTCTGACATTGGCAACTATCATTGTAGTTACTGACAATCTGCTCTTTCAATCTGTTTGAAGCAGACCTACAAGAACAATCAAATCACAGACCTATTGGTAAGTAGTTCTGTAGCTGTAACGAACGTATATGTTTCATATCTAGCAAATAGATTTTGCCGCTTCTGAATATTGCTTCTTGTGCCACTGCTGGTGAAGTAACTGTAGTGCATGTAAATAGCTGCAGTCCTTTGTAATAGTCCTTTATAAAGCTTGCATGCCATGTCAGTAAACTGTGGTGAGGGCATCAGTATTATTAGTGACTCGGTGGAGCGTCTACAACTTCTCATCTGTTTCAGTTTCAAATTCCTCTGGCCCCAACCTCAGCCAGTGTGTTACTCCATTACTTTGAATACTTTGACAGTTGGAGATAGTGGTATTGCAATGATGTGATAAAAAAGATTGGTAGTCTGTCTGCTAAGGGTGTGCTGTTCCTGCAAGCTCAGCTCTTCCAGTGCACAGTGTGTGGATGCTTTGATCCTGAGCTGATGCTCATAAAGATAGATGGTTAGCATATGTGTGTTATGAAGAATAGTTGCTGGGGTTTTTTAATCACATTCTTAAATTTGCATGGTAGACTTGGCTGTGGTCAGGCATGTTGTCTTGTCAATGCTAAACTGGGTGGAAAGGCTGCTGGCCTCTCTGAAAATTCTCTCAGGCTCATCAGTGTGAGAGGGAATGTAAGTGCTCCCCGGTCCTGGTTCAGCTTTTCTAAATTAATTAGAAAGCTTGTACTTTTAAAAGTGTTTTTCAATGACAGTATGCTGCTGTCACTCAATCTCTGCTGTTTAAAATAGTTTATACTGGTCAAGACCTTGGAGGTTTTCCAGCTGCAAAAATGTTGAAAACATCTTGTTTGAAAGAGGTGAAATGTTAGATAGACATTGAGGCTATGGACAGAGATCTCTTCTGTATCTAGCTGTGCAGGGTTACTGACTCTGAATCCGGTTTGGGACATGATCTCATTTGCCAGCAAAGCTGTGGGACAGTAATTCCTATTGGAGAGGAGAAGTAGCAAACCAGCGAGGAAATGCCTTGCTTTGAATAAGTGTCTTTCTGTAACTTAATGTGCAATCTTTGGATAAAAATCAGGCTAGTGGTCTCTAAAGCATTTCTGTTAATGTGACTTTTTTCCCCTTTCATTGCTGCTTTGTTTACTTACGACAGAATTACTTTGGACTTTATTAAAATCAAAATGAATGTATCTCAAACTATGAGGATATCAGTAGACTTTCCTCCAAAGTTTGTAAATTTCTCATATCTTTGTATAATTGTTTTAACCAGATCAACAGTAAAAAGAAACCGTAACAAACAGAAAAAAGACTTTTTACTTCTGACTTGTAAAAGTTTCCACCTAAATGTACCATGTTTTAGAGAGATGGGACGTGGAGATGTGAAAGTGGTCTTCTGTGTGTGGTGGGGTTTTGTTTGTTTTCTGAGAAGCATAAGAAGGTTTGAGGTTTTTGGGAAAGTATACCGGCCATAGCTTTGGCAACTTGCCATAACAATTTTCACGTTTATTAAATTTCTTCTTTCATGGGGGAATTTAGTAATAGCCTGTGTTTTCCAAAAAATGAAAGAAGTGGGAAATGGCCTTAGTGACTCACTTCTTGACAGATGATGCAGTCTGAGGTGCATCACAATTCAGATACGCTGACTGTCAGACCATGCTGAAATGGTTTTTTGGGTGAGAAGACAGTGGAGCTGTGTTCCTAGTGTAGGATGACTTTTAAAATCATATAAAATATTGTGCCTGAAGTGAGATTGGACATTATTTTCACTTTGGAAGAAATTAAATTTAGAGTTATTGAACCAGTGGAATATATAAATGTGGTTTTTTTTCTTTTGTCTTTGCAGCAACAGACAAGGTGGCTCTGTTAATAGGAAATATGAGCTACTGGAATCACCCCCAACTCAAGGCTCCGATGGTAGATGTCTATGAATTGACCAACTTGCTGAGACAGCTGGATTTCAAAGTTGTTTCTTTGCTGGATCTTACTGAGTCCGAGATGCGAAATGCAGTGGATGAATTTTTACTTCTCCTGGACAAAGGAGTATATGGTAAGAACATGCAACCTTCTGAAGTAGGTCAGTTTTGTGATGTATCAAGTACGCAAACATCTGATACTTACCTCTGCTGGCTCACTGTATGTGATAGCAAAACAAACTTCATGGTAAATAGCATGTATGTAGAATGGGAAAAGTAAATTAAAAACACCCAGCAGCATATCCTTTGACTTTGGTTAAAATGTTATTGTTTATTCTTAGAACAGATAAAATGCTTGAATGTTTTTCTTTAACTACACCTGAAACTGCAGTGCCCTTTTTTCTTTGATAATGCTGATGTGTTTCTCTGCTAAAAGCTGCTGCATCTGTACAGCATATTTGACAACATGCTCTGCAGAAGGTGCACATTTGTACTAAGTCATTAGTATTAGCTTGTAGTAGTTTTTCAGGCAAAAGCAAGACTAGGCTGTTGTGTTGCCTGTGTTAGAGTGTTACGGAAATGAGCTAGCAGTGGAGGAGTTGGAAACTGTAACTGCAGTATACAAGACTATGTGTAGTCTTGGGCAGCAGTCCTGGCTGCCTTTAGGAGAGCTCTTAAACACCTTCTTCGTAAACTTCTGTTGTGTTGTCTTCCTCTCTTCCCTGCGCCTGCGAGTTGATGATATGGCTAGAGCTGGCCAATCCCTTGCCGTGTGTGGCCTGCGAGGTGGTGTTTCCGTGAGGGAGGTGGGGAGCAGTCCTGAGTACAGCATAGAATATGTTCTGGGCTCGCTGGTGGGACCCTTCCCTTCATCCCCTCTCTCTGCCGGATGTCTGCAGAATGCTCTTTGCTTCTGGATTGCCGTCCTTCCGGCGCTCTTTGGGAGGGGCTGCTCTGCTCTCTTAGTCCTCGCTCGCCGGCTCCGTAAAGGTCAGAGGAAGAGGGGTGCTTTGCCTTGGCTGAGCTGCACTGATACCAGGTGTGTTGGGGCGGGGGGGGCAGTGGGACAAAGCAGCAAAGCATTTCTCTCGTGAAGGTGTTACAAACTAAAATACACAGTACAGAAAAAAACCGTTGTGCTTCAGAGTTAGGGTGTAACACTCAGCAGATTGGATGCAATCTTTTATTGCCCTCTTTTTTGACAAGTTTTCATGCTAAGTCGAAATCCTTATTTTGAATTGCTGGTTCTTTTCAGTTATTGTGATACTGTCCTGTCAAGCACAGAATTTTTCATAACGTCCTTGACAGGGAGTGAAAGTTGTGGAAACCTGGATTTCTACTTTGAAAAAGCAAATTGGAGTGAAGATTGTTTGTGAAATTAAAATGTAGTTCTCTTATGTCTGTGCACTTTAAAGAAGTAAAATAAAACAGACGAATTCACATTATCCTTTGCAAAATACACCTTGCATAAGGAAAGGCACTTTTTAAATGGTGTGTTACCTGGTGCTCTGTCTATGCAGAACTGGCTGATCTGACATTTGGCCGTTTATGTCAGAGCCAAAAACTTACATGACATGAAGACTAATTATGGCAGGCTTTCTGATAGCAGTTTTCTTTTTTTGTTCCCTGGGAAATAGGCATGCTTATGCATTTGAGTGAGCTTTTAGATTCTTGCACCTTCTCAATTTTTTTCTATAATTGTTGACATGAATTTAGAAAATAAAGTACTGAAAGGCATTAATAAGATTCTCACCAGCACCATATGAAAGCTCATATAAAGCATATTTTTGCAGTTGTATTTTCTAAGCAAGTTGGTATTTCTGAAAGGTAAGCAGAGCATTCTTCCAGTAGTGTTTGTCAGTAACTACTTCAGTATAAATGGTCGCTTTGTTCCTTCTGGATAGTGGCTATTACCAGCTTAAAGCATATAAAAGATGCTGTCAGTGCACAAATAGATAATGATTTATTGCATTTTTAGTGGGCATAGCTCCAAATAGAAGAGGCATTGTGTCTACTTCTGTTTAGTCCCTGTTACACATATTCATGATGCTTAATATGACATTGTGTAATTCCTGCTTACTGCCAGGAAAGTGGCCTTTCAGATACTGTTCCTTAAGATCAAAAAACTGATGATGATTATCATCTCTAATGTCTTAGTTTATGTTGTCCTACATTTAGGATGCAATTAATACTGTATTCCACAAAGGGTGAAAGCACAGACCCATATGTTTTAAAGGCTAAAAATAGTTAGGCTGCTTTCTTTTTTTTTTTTTTTTTTTTTTTTTTTAAAAAAAAAAAAAAAAAGAAAGCAAGAGAGGCAGATACTACTTAAATGCTGACGTCTATGAGGAACTTGAGCCTACTTAAAATTCTTGTGTCAAAAGTGTCTAATGAGGCCCTCCAAACACATTTACTCTGCTTACTCTGGGTATGCAGAGATTTATTTCTGATCTTGAGCTCAACATAATATCTGTTGCTGATACTCACTAAATAAACATAGCACAGTCATCTGCCAAGGATATAAAAGAAGTGTAGTAGTTATTTCTGAGATATTTCTATTCATTGAGGAAATACTCTGATAAATCATGCTTTACATTAAAGAGACTTGTTTCCTTCAGTCAGTCCAGTTACTTATCTAACATACACTTAGATATATATAGATACATATATATATGTATATATATATAAAATCTCAAATATAACCTTCATTTAGGCCCAGATCCAAACTCTGTGTAAATCAAATTTAAGAGTTTCCTTTTAATTTAGGACCTGACATGGAGTCATGCACTTGGCACTTAATTTTGATCTCTCTTGAAACTACCCAATCTCAGGTAACCATTGGAATCTTACAAATAGCCCAATTGTGCCTTTATTTGTTCAGGTTTTTAGTCATACACTTTAAACTCTCTGCCCTTTGGAATCTAACTTTTGATTTAATAAAGCTGTTGACATTCTCCAAGGCTCTGGCAGATGAATAACCATTAGGCTCCATTGAAGCGGAGCCTTGCGTCCTGGAGTTTACCTTGTATGCACTTGCTGGCTGCTTATCTTGACTATGCATGTTTCCCATAAAAGGCAATTAAGCACCATTGATTGAATGCAGCAGTTTGCAAGGTCTTGGCATAGCTGTTAATGACTTGAGAGTTTACAATTAAAATAGAACTGAACACTTAATTTGAAGGGCTATAGTTATATCTTAGTATTCCTTACAAAACTTGCAGGGCTGTGTGAGAGAAGTATTTTCATTTGTTGTACCTGTCTGTAATGAAAAGGTAAAAACATCTGGCATACCTACCTGCACAAGCTGATTTAAATGTAGATCATTTTAGTATGTTAGGGTAAGGCTTATTTGGCTTTTTCTGAATATTCAAGTTTTGTAGTGACACAAATTTCACAGCTATTTTTAGTAAAAATAATGACGGAAGAAGACCGTATCTGCAGTTAGCATAAATTGTCCAATCTCTGACTTTTATTCAGCTGCAGCACTGTATACTAGTTGAAGTTCTGACCCATAGACTGCTTTGTATAGATAAAAATTCATTTTCAAGACAGAAACTTGCCATAAATAAGCAAAAACAGTGCTGCGACAGACAATAGGAAAATTCCATTTAAACATACAAGCTTCTGGAAACTCCATTTTATGGCAGTGGAGGTTATTAATGCTAAGATCATCTAATCTTACTGCAAATTGATATGACTTTAATATTTGACATCTTTATTCATATAAGTAGAATCTAAGCCCTAGGTTGCAGTTCCCTTTTTCAGGGTTAAGAAAAGGGGGTTTTTAATTCCATGGTATGTTTTCTTTTTACAAAACTATTGCATGTTTTATTGGCGATTTTAAATCTTAAAATATTGTAGAATGTTGTGTATTTACACGAGGGAGATGGTTGTGGGGTAATCTTTTGTGTCTAGGTAAGCATGGAAAGAATTTGTTTCTTTAGTAGACCCACAAGAGTCATGAGTAAACTGTAAAAAGATGTAGATGCAGTCGACTACAAATGAATTGTTAGTAGTCTGGTAATGAGAATGTGCTCTGGAGTCCTACCAAATATGATCGTGGAATAATTTTTTTTTTTTCCTCTCTCTGAATGTAAAAATATTCCTTATCCCTCCCTATAAAAAAGACAAAAACAATTGGAGAAACTGACTGTGCAGAAGAAATGGCAAAACTCAAAGCTTGCAAAATGATCTCATAGTGCAAGCAAGGTTTTTCTCTGATTTTTTTTCTAGTTGAAGTACTTTTAAGAATTGCCAATGATTAATGGTAAGTAAAAAAAAAAAATTGAAGGAGAAGAATTTTAAGGATGACAGCATCTCTCATTTAAAAAAAACTGATTCCATCCAAACTGTTCAGTGTTATTTTTTTTCTATCTATAAAATCTGCACTGATTCACAGCTAGTCAAAGCTTTGTAACTGCACACGTGGAGATGTTTTACAGTTGGCCCATTTTCTGTTCATGTCTGTGAGCTGTACATAACAGATTATTTCTGTTAGAGATCATAATTATTCTTAAAGCTTTTTAAGAGTATTTATCTTTGGGTATTTGCTGCAAATACCTAATTGATTGTATTGCACGAGTTATTTTATTTCTTGTTTTCATTTCTTGTGTCTGTATATTGGGAAGTTGATGTTAATGTGGTTTCGCCCCGCCTCCCCTTCCTTCCTGTATTAACAGAGGCACACTGATGTTTAAAAAACTGTTTGGAGTAGCTTGAATGATCTTAATCTCCCACAGACACATAGTGTGAACATAGTGCATGAAGTTTTTGACCATGCTAAAATTTATAGAAATGTTCCAATGTATTCCTGAACTGTGTTTTCAGTCACGTATATTTTGAACTCTCAGGTTTGTTATACTATGCTGGCCATGGCTACGAAAACTATGGAAACAGTTTCATGGTTCCTATTGATGCTCCAAATCCCTACCGATCTGCAAACTGTCTGTGTGTGCAGAACATCCTCAAACTAATGCAGGAAAAAGAGACAGGACTTAATGTATTCCTACTGGATATGTGTCGGAAAAGGTATGATCTCATAATTCATTAATAGTGAGAACTGACATTAGAGGTTTGAGGGATGTTTTTGCTTCACGATGGAGGGAGAGGATATAATGACTGTAGTTTTGGAAACCAACTATGAAGTTCAGTTTATTCACTGAAGCAACAGACTAAAACTGAGCCTGTTTTAAAAATGAACAAATAAAACTGAACAGCCGCTTTGAGAGAATAGCAAGGGATCTTGAGAGAAAGCTGGATTTCACACGGAGGAAAAATCTTTAATCTAGGCTGAGAATTCACTGTACTTGAATGTTCATGGTTCTGAGAATTCACAGCCTGCACCTGAGAGCTTTTAAAATCAACAGGATTCATTCATAGACTTTTTTTGCCTTTGATCAGCTGGTGATCAGACTTCCTGTTTCCACAGGTAGATACTTGCCTCTTGATTCGAATGACATTTCTTTTTTTCTTTTTTTTTGGTGATTGTTTAAAAGTTATAAAGCATAATTCTTATTAGATAAAAGTGAAATTTTGCATCTTAAGGAAGAAAAATGACCCTTTCCCCTTACATCATTAACCATCTTCATCTTTACAGGAAGGAAGGAGAATCCATATGATCAAAGGCATGTTAAATTGACAGAAGGACTGAAGTGAAGTGCTCATTTGGGCTGCTTTTATGCTGGGGATGTTGTATCTTTATTTAGAGCTTAACTCAACTGGTTTATCGAATTTCTCTAAACAAAGTACCATTTTCTTTCCAAGTTAAGACACTACTGTGCCTGATTAAACTTGCACTTGAAAACAGCTCTTTAGTCAGCACTTCTGAAAATTGGTCTCTAAGGAATGTTTCATAATAGACAATTGCTAGTGCTTCAGTGTTTGTAGAGCCTCTAAACTTCACTGGTAATGAAATGCCAGTCACCCAGTTCAGCTTCACAGTCTGCTGTCCAAATAGCAAATACAGCTACATAGGCTTCATGTTAACCATGCAGACACCATGTTTTAAAAAAAGATGTAAGTTCATATAGTTTTTGCTATAGTCTAAAATGGTTAGTTATCAGAAATTGGTTTTGAAGAGATTGTAGCAAGCTCTATATTGGTTAGTATAGCATGGCCTCATCTAGGTAATGCGTGATATCTGGCTGTGTCTTTACGTTGTCTTCACGAAGACTGTTGTTGATGCCAATTTTTGTCTTTCAGTAGTCAGCATTCATTCCAGAATTGTAGGAGATAAAAAAAATTTACTGTTTCTGAACTATTCTGTTTCGGTATTTTGAACAACTGTAGAGTTTGTTACCATTGTTCTCAAATAATTATTTTACTTTTTTGTGTTTCCATTTATTGCAGAAATGAATATGATGACACAATTCTTATCTTGGATGCTCTGAAGGTTACAGCCAACATTGTTTTTGGATATGCAACGTAAGGAAACTTTTCTCTTGCTATGCCACAGAGGTTTTGAAGTCAGAAGTGACCACTGCGATTGTATAACTAATCTTTTACAGAAAAATACTAACTGTGCTGTTAAAGGACCAATAATTTATATCCATATCTGTCCTCATGCTACCTTTTTTACTTTGTTTGAATCATTCCACGGTCTAACTGACTGTAGTCGTGCATATGTAATGATTTCACAGTATTTAATGTTCCCATTCAGATGTAAGGTAACACCAGTGAGAGAGCTGCATTCAGCAAACCAGAAACAGCTGGACAGTGTTCCTGATCTTTTTCTAAAGTTGACTTGTAGGAGTGCTCTACTCATCTAAGTATTGTTTATTAGACATGAAAAAAAACCACAGAGAAGAAAAAAGCAAATTTTACCCTCAGACCCATAATGTTCTGTTTCTTTGTGCTAACGAGGAGGGGGGAATTATGTCCTGTGTGTTCCTGATGGTACCTACTGCACTGTGAGCTTGTACAGAAGGTTGAGTACTGCGGAGCGGTTGATGAGCTGCAACCTACACACAGCGCTCTCTTCAGTCATGCGTCTCCTGTTAATGCAAGTTAAATTTATAGAAAAAAAAAAAAAAAAAAGTGTTAGAAATATAAATTAATGGATTATTGGAGGAATAGCATATAGATTGGCCCCTGTGTCTCTTGTTCTGGGTGTAAAGAATGACGTTACAACTGCAGTTGAAACTTTTTGAAGAGGTTACTTAAGCAGAAGGCTAAATAATAACCTCTCTATCAGTTTTCAAGTCAAGTGCAAAAGCTGTTGAATAGAAGTAGTCAAGAGCTTTAATAACATTTTCTGTGAGAGATTTTAAGCTCCTCATATAAACAGTTTGACATTAGCCCTGGTCTGTGGCTTGAGTGTAAGTGAACTCTTGCCAGGATGAGTTGCTTGCAAATGAACATGAAGGAGCAGGTTGGCCTTAGACACAACCTGGTAGGGTTTCTTTCCCCTGTTTCCAACATAACTTTACTCCTTTTGTCCTCATGTTGATCTTAATCATGCAGATGTTTTGGTGTTTTTTCCTTGTCTCATACTGGTCATCTTACAGGTGCCAAGGAGCAGAAGCTTTTGAAATTCAGCAGTCGGGGTTGGCCAATGGAATATTCATGAAGTTCTTGAAGGACCGTTTGTTAGAAGACAAGAAGATTACTGTACTGCTCGATGAGGTTGCAGAAGGTGAACTCCAGCTTACTGCACTAACAGGCTTCTCAGCCTGTGTTACTAAAAACTTCTTTGCTTAGATGTCATTCTTGTCACGGTGAATGTGTTAGACTACTTTAAGCTCTTTTGTGTTGCATTTTGTTAAAATAGCAGCTTTTATCAAGAAGTGGGTGCTACTGGGCAGCACATCAACAAAGATCATGATATTATAAAGGGATTTGATCTTCTTTAGCAATCAATTTTATAGTCTCCTTTTTAGTGAACCTTATTTGTTCCGAGTATCTTTCTGGATGGACCTTTGAATTGTCCATCCACAAAAATTACTCTTCTGTCTAGTGGAGTTAGCTGCTGGTTATTTCCACCTTCGTTTAAACAATTAACTGAGTTCTATCTACCTCAAACTGCTATAGTGCTGATAATTATTAGTTCTCTATCAAAGGCTATAAGCGCATTATAAAGGGCAATCCACTGTTTTAATATGCCTGATTCAGTAATTGTCTTTTATAGTTGATCAGAGAAGTGCTAAAGTGAAAACTGTTGAGGGAAAATGTATTGCTTCTGTGCAAACATTTGCTCGAAACGTAGGAGAATAGATATGGCCGTTAACAAAGAGCTGACTGGGTGAGATTTAGTTACTTGTAGGTAATGTTTGTAATCGGCCAAGTTCTGCTGTGGTTTCCAGTGTACTTGGTGCAACTGCAGGTCTCATAATTTTGCCCAGTCTTGTCTTTTGACAGGAATCCAAAAAGCAGAAAAAAATCCAGGAGATTCCTAAGTGCACAGTAAAGTTCTGCTGTCAACAAGTCACAATGTGGAAAACTAAATGCAAAGATTAAACCAACAGAGCTTCTGTCAGTGCTCTGCTGAGGAAAGGAAAGAGATCATTGGGTTGACTAGCTGCAATATAAGCATGGAATTTATGTCAAATTGATGGCAACAGGAATCCAGAATACCCTCAGGATGTAAACTGAAATGAGATTGTTCTTGGTTATGGTTTGTTTGTCTGGTAAATATTCTTATATATATTCTCTGTCTTTTTGCTTATATTTGGTGTGCTGCTTGGCTAGATCCCATAAAACAAATTTACCATTCTGTATTTTCAGTCTTACCTGTTAAACTTTCCATGAACTTTTTGCGAAAAGTTAAATAACATTTCGGAAGATCTCAGAATTATCCTGACAAGATAGAATCGGTAGATGGTAAAACTAAAATGATTATTCCAAAGCCTAGGGCTGAAGTTGGTTGGTTGGTTTGTTTTTTTTTATCTCTTGGGACGATGTGTTGTTCTTCTTTTGCCAGGTGCAGTGAAACAGAGTGCTTTTTGCATTAAGATCTGTACTTTTTATTTCTTACAGTACTTCTCAATTTTGCCATTATCTAAATACAAAGGAAGAATTTGAGAACTTGCTGTCCTCTTGTTTGCAGTGGTAGAAACTAGAGCTAGTTAGCTATAGCTGTGTTCCCTGAAAACCTGGCAGAAGCTCTAATAAAGCTCCTCCTGCTCGATGCTCACCAGCTGCTGTATTTAGGCCCAAATTCATTAAGACCTCAATCCTGACACTTTGTTTTGAAGCAGGCCCCACTATCTTCTCTTTCTTTCATCTTTCTTGCCTTCTGAGACACTCTAACTGTTCCTGCTTTGTGAAAAGAGAACCCTGCAATCCACTCATCCTATCATCAATACTATGTAGTATATGTATATACTATGTCTTTAGATTTTTTATCACGCATTGTCAGCCTGTTCAAAGCAGGAGTAGGAGTAGAATAGACACCCGCTTGCATTCTGCAATGGTCACAAACCAATCAATCTTTCAACTTGCATAAGAAGTTTACATAATTTATAATGAACAAATATCAAAAAATATTCTTACTCTCATCTTCTCCTCATCGTTTTTGTCATTGCTTTTGGGTGTTCTTAAGTGAATTAGTATTCTCTGAGATTTCTCTCTCCCCTACCTTCGTGGCTTCCCCATAAGAACAAGTCACAATTCCGTTGGCACCCGTTCTCCCTACACTTCCCCCAAATGTCCTGTAAAATACAAGTGACTGTCACTGCTTCGTCTGTACTGCCAGGTTGATGTCACATGCTGTAGATGTTCTGATGTGTGACCTAGTACTTATCTCATTCTTGAACTCAGAGTGGAGAGAAAGATGGATGTGACAGCCATTGTTGTCAGGATTGCCAGATACTGGGTGTTAGTGAGTATGCTGGTGCACTGATGACACTTGAAAGTGTTCCAGAGGAGTATTCACATTAAAAATGTTACATGTAAACACCCTTCATTATTTCAGGGTTTTTTTTATGAACTCCTAAATGGCTATTTTCCAGGATTTTTTAAATTCCCTTTGCAGGCCATGGGTTTTGGCTTTCTGCATGCAACAATACTATCTGAAAATGTCACCTTTAAATGTAATTGAACCAAATATAGAGAGACCGTAATAAATTGGAGTAAGTTTGAATTGCAGACTGGTTAAAATTGGAAAGGGGCTCTGGGGATTGTCAAGTCCACCCCTCTTGCTCAAAGCAGAGTAAGCTAAGGCTGGTTGCTCAGGACCTTGTCCATGTGAGTTTTGAATGTCCCCACGGATGGAGACTCCACTGTCTCTCTGTACAACCTGTCCCAGTATTTGATCACCCTTAGAGTAAAAGGTTGTTTCTTATGGTTAAGTGGAACTTTATTTCAGTTTGCATCTGCGTCCTCGTGTACTGTCACTGGTCAACTGAGAATAGTCTGGCTCTGTCTATTTTACATTCCCTCGTCAAGTATTTATACATATTGATAAGTCTCATGAGCCATGTTCTCTCCAGTCTGAACAGTCTCAGCTCTCTCAGCATCTCCTCGTACAAAAGGTGCTCCAGTTCACTCATACTTCTCTCATATGAGAGGTGTTCCAGGCCCCTCATCTCGGTGACCCTTCATTGCACCCTCTCCAGTATATATATGTCATTCTTGTACTGGTGAGCCCAGCAGTGGACCTAGCACTCCAGATACGGCCTCTCCAGTGCTGACCAGAGAGGAAGGATCTCCTCCCTTGGCCTGCTGGCAACGCTATTCCTGTTGGCTGCCTTTGCCACAAGAATGCGTTGCTGGCTCGTGGTCAGCTTGGTGTCCAGCAGGTCCCCAAGGTCCTTCTCTGCAGAGCTGCTTTCCAGCAAGTCAGTCCCCTTTCTGGACTGGTGCCTGAGGTTATTCCTGTCCAGGAGCAGGACTCAGTGTTTCCAATTGGTGAACTTCATGAGATTCCTCTCTGCCCAATTCTACAGACTGTCCAGGTCCCTCTGAATGGCAGCACAACCCTCTGCTGTATCAGCCACTCCTCAGTTTTTAATTGTCTGCAAACTTGCTGAAGTTGCATTCTGTCCTGTCATCCAGGTCATTAGTGATGATGTTAAATAAACAGTATTGGACCCTTTACCGACCCCTAAAATACACCACTTGTCTCCAGTTCTTTAGAAATCCCCTCTAATTCTGTTATTCACATTCTTGAAATTAGTCACTTTAAATAAGACCTTACTGAATCAGAGCTGTGATACTGCTTGAACTGGTTTTGGAAAACATGTGGGCATGTTGACTAGGACACATGCAAAACCCTCAGGATTCTCTGCAGGCATCTGGCATGCTGTTTCAGCCTTCAGTGGATGAATAGCTGAGCAATGAATACTTCTAAAACTACAAGTTCTTATGGATGTGCTGACACTGGCATAACCATAGCAACCACACAGCATTGCAGTGATGTATTTAATTTAGTTAGAATTTCAGCAGCGTTGATTTTGAAATAAACTATATGCATCTTATTTTTAGATATGGGCAAGTGTCACCTTACCAAAGGCAAGCAAGCTTTGGAGATCCGCAGCAGTTTGTCTGAGAAAAGGGCATTAACTGATCCCGTTCAACAAACAATATCTTCTGCGGAGTCTCTGGCACGGAACCTACAGTGGGCCAAAGCTCATGGTATAGTACAGTCTGCTTTTAGATGATCCTACTGGCACGATGGGAAAAATAAGAGAATGTATGTCCATAATAATCTCTAGACTGTGGGTTGTGATATTGAATAGAAATGGAAGAAATTCAAGTCCGTATCTGCATTTTCATTAGTATGTTCAGATCTTGGAAATTTTTCAGTTGGGCTTTACCTCTGCATGAGGTTGTAATGAACAAGGTGACATGTAGAACTCATCCTGAGTAGGTATGTTTAAGACCACTCAAGCACTGTAGGGGAGACATATATGATGTCTGCCTGCTAGGATAATCTCCCAGTAGTCTGTTTGTGTCTAACAGTGACACTTTTAAGACATCGTTAATCTCATTCTAGAATTATCACCTAAAATAGCCAGGTGAACTGTATGGTAAAAGTGCGTGATGAAAAGGAGTTTTCAGTGTATGCAACTAAAGAAAATAAAATAAAGGTGAGATCAGTCCCACGCTTTCTAGACTTCTTTTAAGAAGGACAGTGAGGTTTAAGACCTTTTGATATTTTTCACCTTAACATGTTGGACTACGTTTTAAAATTTCTTTGACAGATTGGGCAGCGGGTCAGGGGTGACATTTTTAAGACAGCTAGTCATGTAGGCAGATTCTTTCACAGATGTAGATTTTTATTTGTGGAATCAAGCTCTTAATTCCTGTTTGATAAATAATTGAAATGCAAAACAAAAATTACAAAGACATAATGTTATCTTATGGTTTATTTAAGCCATGCATTGAAGGGAAAGTGTTTGGAATTTGGGAAGAGAATAACCTTTATATTTGTATAAAGATATGTATGTGATAATGTTAAATAACCCACTTCCAGTGGGAGTAGAAAAATCAGTACAAGGCGTACAGACACAGAATGATGTCACTGACCCTTGAGCACTTTCAGAGATATTACAGTAGTTCAGATAGTTACAGTAAACGTGGCCTTGATGGTTGCACTGGGAGATAGAAGTCGAGTCAGCTCTCGCTGGAAGTGTCTGCCAGTTACCATGTGATACTAGTGAACAGTGTTGCTGCTGGGTTAGCTTCTAGCCTGGTTTGCTTTGGTCTAAACAGGTAAATGATAGGTAGGAGGAGGGCAGGAGGAAGAGGTCTATACCGTTTAAAACTTCTGAATTTAAAAACAAAATTAAAGAAAGTAGAAAATACATTTGCTAAGTTTTATTTAGAACGTAATGATATGTTATTTATTTGCAGAGCTTCCAGAAAGTATGTATCTTGAATTCAAATGCGGTGTTCAGATTCAGTTGGGGTTTGCAGCCGAGTTTTCCAATGTCATGATAATCTACACACGAATAGTAAAGAAGCCACCTGAAATAGTAGTTTGCAGAGCCTACGTTACAGACTTCGCACTCGTAAGTGCTTCCTATTGGTGTCTTGGTGATCTCCTTCCACTGAAGTTGAAAATTGTCTGTTCTGTCCATCTCAAACTGCACCTTTTGTAATAAAATGGGTCTAAACTGTTGAAATCAGGTGCTTACTTTTTTTTAAAATGCATATTTTTAATAGCTATTGAAAAACATTAAAATTAATCTGGGGTCATCTTTTTCAAAGTCTCCTTTGGTTTTCCTTGTCAAATATCAAGTATTTATTATATTTAATTAAAGAAGTTAAATGTCAGTAGAGGCTACGTGAGTTGAGGACACATCTACCTTGTAGGGCAACATTTCTTTAGGCTTTAGTTTTACAGTTCTTTGCACCTGGGCGATCCTGTGCAGTTCTATTGATGTTATTCAGCTGATTGTAGTGAAGTGAAGGATAAGAGTAAAACAGAAAGCTCCTTGGGGCAAAAAACCTTTTTTTGATAGCTATGAAAGAGGAAATGGAGCAGAAAACCTTTTTAGACGGAACAAACAGGACACTTCTGATGCTTTATGAATACAGTATCTGAGTTAATGTGCATAATAAATACATGTATTTTTAGCTAACAGAATTAGTGCTATAGTACTGTACTTCATAGTAGAAGTTCGGTAAAAAAAAAGCAACTGAAATGTAAACCCTTCTGTTGTGACTAACAGTGGTTTCAGCAGCTTTTGCAAGTAATCCAAGACTGGTGTTTTCTTTCCTTTTAAGAAGAAGAAGAAAATGCTGACTTTATAAAAAGAAATACTGCTAACTATTTTATGATCTACAAATTCCATACCCTCGGTTAAGTTCTCATTTCTTTCTTACAACAGGACCTGGATGTGGATCCTAAAGAGGCCAATAAAGGAACTCCTGAGGAAACCGGAAGCTATTTAGTATCAAAGGACCTCCCCAAACACTGCCTCTACACCAGGCTCAGTTCACTGCAGAAACTAAGGGTTAATATGTATTATTTTTCACAAGTTTGTTCAGATAATTTAGATTAATCATGTTGCTTTGCAGTTCTGTTGAGGTAGCTGTGTATTGTCTGCATAGTAAGTAACATGTTATTTGGAGGGAAAAAAATGGCTAATAGCACAATTTAGTGAGTTTACTTTCTTAGCTGAAAAATAAAAGCCAGGAAATCAATACATATGCAATCCTGATACCATTGTGCAAGGCACTTTGTATTTTCTAGGGCTGTACTGAGCTTTGACAACTTGGTTATTTTTGCGAAGATCATCTGTTGCGCACTGTGAGGATGTTACTATGCCCTGTAGTACAAGAAGAATGTGACCTGAAGCAGAGCTGCACCTTACAGAGTCAGTAGTAGGAGCTGAAAATGTTAGGTATCATTTCCTTCCATTCCAACCCGTGCTCTTGGGCATGCAGTTTTGGAAGGGTTCTCACATCAACATACTGTGGCACTGTTAAGTTTATCTGTGTATCTTTGTGTCATGAACATCTGTGCTGGACATCATTTGGTATCTCTTCCTCAGTGCTTTTGGCAGCTGGTATAATACAAGTGCTTCTAGAAATAAGGACTGTCAGGTGAGCAAGTATTAACCAAAAGAGGTCCTCAGTAAACAAGTCTTGCCTGATATATGTCTGTAGCTCCTAAAAAGGTTAGTCTCCTTCTCCAATAGAGCGTGCCTCTGTAAGTGTTTCCTACATTTATCTGGGGAGGAAGTGTAACTTTCTTTTTTTTTCTTTCTCTCTCCCCCTCCTCCTTTTGTAGGAACACTTGATCTTCACTGTTTGCTTGCACTATGAGTATCCAGGAATAGAAGATACAATGGATGAAAGAAAGGAAGTTAATGTTGGGAAGCCCCTTATTGCTAAATTAGGCCTTCATCATGGATTCAAAAATAATAACTGTCTCCAGACCTGTTGCATGGCTAATAATCCTTTCCATAATCAAATAGAATCAAGTCCAGTGACAACTAAATACTACATCCCTAGTCATTGCCAACCAAATTCCTGTCCAGGCGTTTACCATCCAAACCGTGTTTGTTCAGACAGCATCAGACAGCCAGAGGCATGTTCTTGCAATGGGACTTCAAGGATATTGGCTGCAAGACATGAAGTACGGAATTACTCATTCCCTGTGGAAAAGAGTAATATACCAGTAGAGACCACTGATGATACTGTTGAACTGGAATTCCTTCTCTCTGACAACCTCCGATTCTCTAAACAGCAGTAGCTGTGATATGTTCAGAATTTGAATAGGGGACCTTCCACACTGCTTATCCGTCTTCTGGAGTTTGGGGACTTCAGCACAAAGGGATTGTAGAGTCTGGAGGTGGTACTGGGAACGAGGTGGTGGTGAAAGTTTTTCAGATCCAAAGAGATGAAACTGGGCTGATAGATGTAGGAATGAAAAAGGCATCAATTGTTTTTTTGTTTGTTTTTTTTTTTTTCCCCTACCATCTGACATTTAATTCAGGAAAAAAACCTGAACTCCTCAGAGTTTCCATTCTCTGGCAGTCAAGCAGCTAACAAAGAGGCAGTCATGCATTTCTGGGAGGAAGCTGCCTATCTCTGCGAAGGAGTGAATGCATAAAAGCCTGGCTGATGTCAAAGTTTCTCTTGAGATAGTAAAGCCTTAGATCTTCCCAGCTGCTTCTCCAGTACCTACTGGAGTTATAAAATCTACTGTAAATGTATTTTTTGTAAATCTTCTGTTTTCAGAGAGGAATTGATCATCCTATACAAAAACAAGATAAGCATGTATAGCTGTCAGAGGAAAAAATGTTGACAGAATTAAGCAGGAAGATGAATTTCCATGTCCTCTATGATTGAATATGATTTTTAAAAATGCGTTAGCCCCAAAATGGTGTATACACCTTTCTCTCTTCCATCTTTCATTTGTTCATTATCCAGGGATTTCTTTTTACATACTGCATTAAAGTAAAGTTGTATATGTTTATATATGTTGTAACAGCCCTCTATTGAGTATGTAAGATGACGCATAATGTAAAGGAACTGAACAAAGAGGGAGCTTTTACAGAAGTGAAGATATTGTGTTTTAGTATTCCGGAGTTAAGAATACATCTCCTTCAAGCCTCAGTTTCTCTTCTTCCTCATATACATACGTATTAGGATCAGTCAGTAACGTTCTGGGCCCTTGGATGTAGCTAATAACCAGTTTTGGCTACATTCTCCTCTCTCAGGGCCAGATGTCCAGTGTCTGGCAACAACTGACAGATGGATAAAGAACTGTGCAAGGAAAACAAAACCTGAACAGAACTAGTAAACTAATATTATCGCTTTTTTTTAAAGCGAACTACAAATCATCAGAGGGAGCAAAGTCACAGATTCATACTGTAGTGGACTGTTCTTGTGATAATCTTTCTCTTACATAACACACTTAAGGTTTTTGCTGATCTCATTCAGGAAAAGTGGTCTTTTCATGTTCTGGAAGAACACTAAATAGAAAAGTGAGGAAAAAATGCCTGTTCATAGCAAGCAATGTGTTGTATAGTTAGTCACACAGTAAGAAGTGCTGAAAGCTAAGAATAAGTGAGCAAGATGAGTGAAAACTTTGGGGTTCTTCAGGGTGAAGTATAAGGGTAGTGTTCCTGGACACCAGCCACTGCTTCCCTGAGGCAATTTTAAAAAACAAACCCTACTTAGTTGTTTATAATTTCTATTCATTCAAATAAAATTTCTAAAAGTCTACCCTAAAACTGTGAAAATCCGAGAAAGCTTCCAGTACACACAAACTTATAAAAGGTAAAGCAACTTTAAATGCAGTCTGCTGGAGGTGAGGGACACTTGCTTCACGTCACGACCTGGCTCTTCGCGTACAGCCCTACATGTGTGCGTTTGCTCTGGAGCTCAGACGTGGGGTTCTCTGCACAGACTAGACGCCAGAAGTAAGCTAGTCTTCTAGGTCCTCCGGCCTCTGAGCCCCAGAAGCTCCCTACTGGAGACAGAGGCATAGCCACCTTCAGAAGACAGTTGATCCTGTGCTGAAAGGCAAATGAGCTACTTCCCTGTGGTGCTTTATTGCTTTGTTGAACGAAGAGGACAGGATGACCTAGCTTGGGCTAGCTGCCAAGCTTTTTACGCGATGTAAAATTTATCGATCTGTGTTCAGAAAAGGGCAGTTTTGCATACCAAACTTTTGTATTTTCAGGTTGAATAGTTTGGTCAAAAAAGACACGTTAGGTTTTTTTAATGTTTGGTTTTGTTTCAAAATACTGAAGAATCTGTGACTTGCCTGTGTATCTGCAGAGGAGTGTGACAACACTGATGGTTTATTAGGTCTTTAAAAGTCTTGATGCTTTGAAAGCATGAAAATATCTGGGTGTAAGGTAATGAAAATTCAAGGGAGTTTTCAGATATAGGTAGTAGCCTCTCCTGCCCTTGTAATATTGATAAGCAGTATTGGTTTAATTAAGGTCCCTGTCATGAAATAATTTTTTACTTTAGAAAAATTGTTGTAGTGCTTTTCATTAAGTAGGTAGCAAAAATTAAAAATAACTGAATCTCATTGATACGGTGGACAAATCATTTTAAATCTTCAGTTGAGAGTGCTGCCTGCTGGTGGGATCTGGTAATCTTCCAACATGTTGTCTGGACACTGAGGGAGGTGCTGTATGTGGTCCTAACAAGTTTCAGATGGAAATGTTAATGCATCATTAACTACATCTGTTGATCTTCAAATTCGTGTGTGCTGAAAGGTGGATATATGTACATGGATACTAATGTAGTTAATTCCAGAGTGACAGCCATGCTTGAAGTATTCTGCGAATGAGCTTGAGTTTCTGATTTTCTCCTGGAGGGTATTAAATAATGAAATATTTATTGATGAATGAGATGTACCTGTGCATTAACTATCCTGTGCAGTTGACTTCTAAAACAAAAATTATGGCTTGAGACATGGACTAGTACTGTAATATTTACTTTGTCACAGTTTCCTAATTTGTATAAAAGCTTACTCTGTTTCTTACGGCGTAATAAACTGTTGTTCACACAATGCTATATCTGTACATATGTAGTTGCTATGTTCTCCTACTCCTCACAGTTTAAAAAGCCCAAAACTTTATTAAAACAAAACATATAATGATAAAAAAAAATCCTTAACAAAAAAAGAAGGGGAAATCTGAATTATGAGCTTCAGGTCAAGTTAAAACATCTCTGCATCTTGGGCCTGTACAGGCTTCTCAAACTGTGCACCTAAAAGATGTTTGTTTTGGTTTTTGGGTTTTTTTTTTTTTTTTGTAAGTTTGTATGCCTTCTAGCTTCTGCTACCCCAGCTGTACTGCTGGTTAAACCTAAGCGATCCTTCTCCGTTGCCTTGCAAAGATACCCAAGCGATAATATAATAATTTATAATTATGTAATATGTTATATTCTTGTAATATGTTGTCAGTTTTCTTGGGAAATGTGGATAGAGAAAGAATGCAATTATTAAACCTTAGAAGCTGTCCAGAGAAGGGCAGGGGACTCACTAACTATTTGCTTGTTTATTTGCAGGTGCACTCCATGGCACGGGAAGGGCTGCCAGGAGCAGCAGTGCTGATGTGTGAGTAGCTGTCTCCTGCCATGATTTAAAATTAACCGTGGGCAGTCGGCTGGTGCTTTACAGTGGAATAGCCGGTCAGTGCTTGGTGAATTTTTTGTTACTAGAGAGCTTTAACGTACATTGATTAGTTCTCAGTTTTAGTACACAGTCCAATGGTACACAGTCTCTGTCAGCCTAGGTAGGAACCTTTGAGGATCTATACCTAAGATGCCTGTAAATGTAACTATATAAGAACATGGCAAAGAGAACGTTGCAGAACTGTAGAGATTGGAGAGGGGCCTGTGCAAATTATCTGACAAAACTCTACCTGTGGCAGTAGGGCCTGTGGAGGAAAACTTTATTGTTCTGAGCCCTCATTATAAAGGGAATGGTGATGGAAAGGCATCTTCTTACTGCATCACTGCCTTTAGGAACTGCTTAACTGTTTTAATCATTGGTGTTAGGGGTGAAATATTCTGGTTCTTAAGGGCAAGCTGCAAGAGGCACCTCTTTCCTTTGGCCCATATCCAATAAAGCAGTTTAAAAGTTCAGCATGCATAAATTAAGCCAACACTGGCTTTTAAAGTGAAATCACTGGGATTAAAATACATGACTAAACCTAGGCATTTGTTAAAGCTCTCTTTGGCTTGTGATGCCCTTTTCTCGACTGAAGCCTTGGGGTTTTTTCCCTGAAGTGCAATTGTTTGGGGATGATATTTTTTTTTTGAAGTTTCTGCTAGGCTGTTACTTTGCTGTCTACTTTATCCATAGCTGTAGGGTTTTGTATAACATATGTGTTTGTTATTTGGTTTTGGATGTTGAATAGATTTGGAAGAAAGGTTTTAAGGTAATCCAAATAAGCTCAGGCTTTTCTGGCAAAAGAAGAGTTCGTATGCTTAAGAAAGACCAATACGCTCTTCTGTTTTCCCTCCCCACACTGCAGTAAGGTGGGGTAATTTAAATGCAAGAAGCTATTGTTAATGTAGCATTCAGCTTCTGAGAGTGATCCTTTTACTTGCGAGTGATAGGAATAGAGGAGCATGAGAGGCTTATAAAGAAAGAGGTCTCCAAAATTAATGGTTCGGAATTCATTTGGTCTTTTGGTTTGGCTTTTTGTCATGACCTTGGCCTTTGCTGACTATGCTGGCCATGCTCTTCGATCTACAGAAGACAGTGCTGGGACTTAACACGGCACCAACTGCCACTGGCTTTGGGTAGGCATCCTCCTGTGTGTTTCTACATTGTGGCAAACCACCAAAGCAGATCCACACCGTTGTAAGCCTAAGACATTTGTATTGTCCTATATGAGCATCTTTGCCAGTCCTCTTCATTTCCTGTCTTCTCTACTTTGTACAAATTCTGCAGGGCAGATTATTTCTCTTGAGGTGTTTCTTGAATAGCAGTCTAAAATCACGATGCTGTTGGTAGGTTTGTTGGAAGGATTTTACAGTTCTGTGTAAGTCTGTCCTAGTGCACTGTCAACCTCTTGCCACACACTGTGGGAATGTCAGAACGGTTCTTAACTTGTTAAGGCTTCAAGTACCCAGAACAGCATTTTGGAACTCAAGTTGACCCAGGTTAGAAGTATTAACTGATACCATTCTCTGACCTGATTTTTGGCACAGCTGAGATCTGAAACCTTCTTGTGGTAGAGATAGTGTTGCTGGATTGCACTATTTAACACCGAAGGTCACAGAAACCTGTGAACTTTGTACCTAATGTTGTGGCTGTGGGAAGACAATAGCCAAATACCATGGGTAAAATTCTTGTCCTCGGTCTAGTTCACATAGTGCATTGACCTAATGGAGTTTTTCATGTTTTCTTTGCCCAGGATGACGCATTGTTATTTCTCTCAAAATACAACTATTTGAACAGAGGAGGTATTTGAATAGTGCAGGCTCAAGCCATTTCCTCTTGCAGTCCAATCAAAGCACTGTTCATACTGGATTGGAGAAGTATCTTCCACAAAAATGGTAGGAGTGAATTTAACTTCTATAGCTACATAAAGCTCTGCAAGCTAACCTCCTCAGTAAAGCAACCTTTTATCTCGAGAGTCCTTAAACTGTCGCTTTGGCTACAGAAGACCATCTGCACTGTGTAATTTTTCACTAAGAGATTTCAAGGCTGGTTTTCCTGTCTCTGTAGTTACTGCTTTTGTTCATGCATCAACTACTTTTCCTCATTCTGTTAGATAATTAATAACTTTGACAGTTCTCACGTACATTAAGCTTTAGGGCTATGTTCACCTTGACATACATTCCTGACTACTGTATGTGTAATTCATTTCAGTATAACTTCTTCCTTGCACAGAATTTTAATACAGGCAGAGTAAGATCTCACTTCTTGGAGTGTAGCATTTTGAGATCTGAGGTGTTTGCTATGAATTGAAGATAGGTTTAGGATATCAGGTGTGGGAGGAGGGGTTGGGAATCTGAGGGGGTTGGGTTGGGGTTTTTTTAAAGTTTGATCATCCTCCTAGTCTAGGAACGGAGTAAGAACACCTCCATGTTGTGGTAATTAAGCAGTTATTTAATTTCTAAGGTACCACTGCCGCAATTTGTCATACCAGGCTTATTTTAAGAGCTGACAGGAAAAAATGCTGTCTCCCGTCCTTGCTGCTGCCACGCACAGTGAGCATGAGACCAGGATCCGTGTGGGTGTGTGTTACCGCAGCGACCAGCCTCCGCACCTGCATCTGCAGCGGATGCAGGGGGAAGTGACTAGGACTTCCCCATCCGTTCTTTAGATAGAATCATTTCAGTCATTTGCTAGCACCCTGCTTTCATTTTTCAAAGTCAATTGAAATTAGTATGAAAAGTCTTCAACCTGTTATTCAAATGACTTCACTGCACGTAAGATCAGACAGCTTTCAGGTGTTTCCTGAGCTCTCCTAGGACTTAACATGGTGGTTAGGATTTATTTCACCTCTCTAAAGGTGAAGCAGCTCTGCTTCCTGACATCCTATAAGAGGATGTATGTTGGGCATGCACAGTAGGACAGCACAAGTTACCCTGTGGAGGTAGGCACCTCTCTGTTGGATTACCAGCAGGCAGCCTGGTGACCCAGAGAAGCCTATCTGTCTGGCCTCTACAGAGCTGAAACTGCTCAGATTAATTCCCTTCCACGTATTTAAAGTGGTCCCAGGACTCTTCTTTGTTCACATCCTGTCATCTTCATGCCTGTCAACTTTTCTCCCTTCTTTTCCCTTCTGTTGAATGCCAGTAGCATCCTTGATAACCTGCTTCACAGGACCAACTGAGGATTGGTCCAGAAATGTTTAAGAACTGCTTTGAAATTGTCAGAATATACCAAATTTTTGTTTGTTTGTTTGTTTGTCTGTAATAAGCATGGCAGTCTTTCAAGGTAGTACAGAGTAGCTATAAAATACTGATGTGCTGATGCTCAAAGTTTTGTAGGTTTTGCTTTATGCCTTAGTGATATTCAGAAAACTGCTGCAGACTCTGTTTCAATGTTGCAGCCTCAAAGAAAACATTTTGTTTGAAACACCCACTAAATAATCAGCTCTGCTTTTAGTGGAAATAATAGGCTCATTTTAATCAGAAAATAGCTGTGCTTCATGCCAAGCCATTTACCTGTCCTGGCAGGTAGAAAACTGCAGCTGTTTGCACACAACATTGTAGTCGCAGAAATGATTTGCTGGTTGGAGTGGGTTTTGCAGCATAAAAATCTGAGGTAGGACTTGTTACACATTAACAGTGGGAGACTCCCTGCTAATTTCTGCCATACTGTCTTCACTGGCATAATCCTGGTTATAACACTGCAGCCCCCTTGTGTTAAAACACACTTTCCTCTGATGGGATATATGGGATCAAACCATTTACTAGCTGTGTACATTCTATTTTGTTTGGCTCTTTTTTGTGAGGAGAGTTTCTTGTTCCTGTGAGGTCAGATGAGACAACTGTGAGCCCAACAAGTAGTTTATAAATGTCAGTGAAACCCACGTTGAACTATTTTCTGCTAGTATAGAAAAGAGAGTGAAAACTCTGTTTCTGTAGCCCTTCCAAAACACCGAGTTGGCATAAAACTGGTGATGAACCCGGACCTGGGCCAGCTGCCACTCCTTGAGCTCGCTGTTACTGCCTCACCTCTGGAAGCTGCTCTAACCTCAGGCTGAGGTCTGCAAGTCACAGCCAGCAACCCGTGCACCTCCTGGGCTTTTCCCTAGGCAGCTTTCAGGGTGGTGGAGAAACAGTTACTTAATACTTTCCCACTGTAAATGCTGTCAGGCAATAAAGGACTTGGAGGCACAAAAATTGCAAGTGCTAGAACTCTCCCGCTTGCTGGCAACTAGCTTTTGTCAAACACAGCAGGAGAAAAATGCCTGCAGAATTGTGTGATTAACAGAGAAACACGAGAGAAATAAATACTCGTTTGAGTGCAAAGAGCTAATTAAGTCACGAACTCTTTTACCTGATGAGCCAAAGTGATAAATTAAACCTCCTGGTACCACCTAAAG